ACCTTTACCTAAAAAAAAAAAAAAAAAACAAACCCCAAACAAACCAAAAAAAGAAAATCAGAAGTATTAGGCATAACAAACATATGGTTACCATTTAGCTGTGAAACAATACCTTATTTAAGGTCACTTTCCTCATAATTATCATAGGAATAGATATGTCTCAGTGGAAAGATAGTATTTCTGATTTCACTGTTTTTTTCTTGGCCCTTCAAAGTCCTCAGACTTCAAATCTTAACCATGAAGGTATGTTTTAAGGTAATCCTTAAAGCTTTTAAGAATAGGTTACTTCTAATTCTTGCTATATCCATTTTTTTCATAGGTGGATTTATGCTTTTGTAGGTTGGGGTATAAAAAGATTACTACTTCTCAATCATGTTTTAAAATTTTATTGCCTGTTTGGATAAGGAAACAAGAACTACAGCAATGGGAAAGTTCCTCTTCCGAAGTAGGAAAACAAATGTGGCATCTTTCATCTCAACAACTGTTTCTAATGTATTTTGAATATTAAACTTCCTATTTGAATTAATTTTTAAAAACAGGGAAAAAAACCCATTGAAATTGTTATTTTGTTTCTGGTATAAAATCTTTTCAGTATGAGAAAAAGTGTGTGATGAATTGTCTTCCAAAGAATCACTAGTTCATTTTTTTAAATTCCTGCCACTTATAATTCCCCAAACACAGTGAAAATAATCACAATGGCTAAGTTTCAGCAGGCATAAATCAAAAGCAATACATAAGACAAAAATCTCACTTAGATGTTTAGCATTTGCAATGACGTATGTCTAGAAAAAGATCAATGGTGCTTCTACAGGAAGGGTAGTTAGTAAATTCCCCTTATAAGCTTAACTATGTTTCAAAATAATAACCCAAAAGAACAGAAAATAAGCATGCCATTATACAGAATGGTTTAATGGTTTTCTAAAATTCCACTATTTAAAGTACACCCCAGTTAAGCAAATGTGTCATTAGTCAGTCTTTGTTCAGAATTAAAGAAAACTTTCAGAGCCAGGATGCCTTTCCTGAACCATGGTGGCTTCAGAAAAGAGGAAAGAAATATGGAATCTTTGCAGAAGAAAAGCTATATCTAATTTTTTTTCACTTTATATTAGACATGATGTGATGTATTGAAAAGAAAAAGATGAAAAGTGAAAAAATAGTCAATAAGGAAAAGACTGAGATAAAATGTCTGAATTCTTAACCCATGGTCATTGAAATCATGACCATAAATGCTGGACAGGTTTCTGAGTAACCTGGGAAAATGAATAAAAAAGGCTAGCAAAATGTTCTTTTTGTGAAACTTACTCAGACTGATTTCTAGAAAAATATCAAGCATTACTTACTAATCAAGCATGATGTTACTAATCAAGCATGTTCAAAATACAGTAGTGACAAATAATTTAAACAGAAAATTTCTAATTCATTCAGGAGGTAAACAAGCCTCTTGAGTCCACAGTCAGAAAACATCAACAATTTAGGACACAAATTTAAAACAAGGTAAGCTAAGAATAGGCCTGTATGATAGCAAGGTTTCTTCAGGACCAAATCAGAGTTAGATCAAAGAAACATGAAAGCAGACAACTGGGCCTTATCACAAAGTACCACTCATGCTACCTGCTCATGTTGATACAGCCACTAAAACAAAGCTCCCACAAAAGCTATCTAAATTCTGCCTTTTGGTAAGAGAAAGAAGCAGGGCTTGTGCACAGCTTTAGTGCTGAAATATATTCTAAGTGTGTGCAGTTGCATACAACTTCATGTGTAATCAGTTTCCAACATATTTATTAAATTTGCAACATGGTAGGCTTGTCATTACCTTCTTTCCCTCATCATCCTTGGATATCTTATATTCCTAAGTATTTAGTCATTTCCTCCTGTCCTAAGGCACTTATTTACTCCTCTAAAAAAATAAAAAATGCCCAAGAGAAAAGCAAGTCATTTATAGGATGGGTACCCATTATGTTTCATTTTCAGCATGCTTTCCAACACCTTCCTTTTGCTCTGAATTTGTGTGTTGTTGAGCAAGAAAAATCTTTAAAACGGGAATTTCTGAAGAACATCTGGGTCGTTCTGACGAGCCCCTCATGGAACCGGAGCCATGTTCAATTGCATCCCCACTGGCAGAGTTCTGAGGAACCTACTGGGCAGGACGGTGTAGAGAAAGAATGAAAATTCATTCCCTTATGTGCTACAGGAGGTTTAGCCCTCTGATTGCCGTTTGCTCAACACAAAGAAAAGTCCTCAATCCGTGGTAAACCGTTAAGTATTGCTTTTGGCAGGTTTCTAAATACAAGTTAAAAAAAAAAAAAAAAAAAGAGATGGGGTGGACAGACGACGTCTAGTTTACTGCTGTTCCCTTCCCCCTCCCCGATGAGCAGCTCTATCTGCAACCCATGTGGCTGGGAGGCAGCCACAGCCGGTTCCAATTCCTGCTTTCCCACTCTGCGCCCCTGCTCGCTGCCGGGGCTGAGCCGAGCCAGGACCGGCCGCGGGCTTCCTCCCCCCGCCCCCCCGCCGCGCAGTCCTCCCTCTCCCCCGCTCCATCCGATCCTCCGGTCCCCCAGGGCACAGTGTGGGAAGTACGAATTTCCGCTGACTTTTCTCGGCAACTTTCGGAGCTCGTCTTTCTCCCGCTCCCCGCTCCGCCCGCCGTCCCCTCCCCGCCCGTCCCCTCCGCCCCTGGGAGAGCCGGCGGAGCAGCGGCTCCGCTCGCAGCGCGCCCGCCCCCCGCGGCCGCGCCGGCTCCGCCACCGCCGCCCCGCAGCCCGTGGGCCGCGAGGGGCGGCAGAGCCCGGGCGGCGGCCCGGCAGCGCTCCCGGCCGGCCCGGGCGAGCCCATGGTGCCGAGCACAGCGACCTGCAGCCGCCGCCGCCGCGCCTGCCTGCCCGGTGCGGAGCTCAGCCCGGCGCGGAGCAGAGGAGGGGCCCATTAGCAGCCGCGGAGGAGGCGGAGGGGATGCCGGAGAGACACAAAGCCGGCGGGGGAAGCAGCCCACGGCTCATCCCGGGATGGGGGCGCCGCGCCGGGTCCGCCTGATGGTGCTGCCGCGGGTGCTCTGGGGCTCCGTCCCCTTCATCCTCCTGCTGCTGCCCGCGGCCGAGCCCATCTGCCCCGAGCCATGCGACTGCCAGCAGCACCAGCACCTCCTCTGCACCAACCGGGGCCTACGCTCCGTGCCCAAGACTGCCGAGCCGCAGGATATCCTCACCTACAGCCTCGGGGGCAACTTCATCGCCAACATCTCCGCCTTCGACTTCCACCGCCTGGCAGGGCTCCAGCGGCTGGACCTGCAGTACAACCGGATCCGCTCCCTGCACCCCAAGGCCTTTGAGCGCCTGGAGCGGCTGGAGGAGCTTTACTTGGGCAACAACCTGCTGCCAGCGCTGGCCCCTGGCACGCTCAGCACCCTGGCCAAGCTGCGCATCCTCTACGTGAACGCCAACGAGATCGGCCGTCTCAGCGCTGCCTCCTTCTCTGGCCTCGACAGCCTTGTCAAACTGCGACTGGATGGCAATGAGCTGGGCTCGCTGGGCGATTCCACTTTCTCAGGGCTGCCAAACTTACTCTATCTGCACCTGGAGTCCAACCGCATCCGCTGGCTGAGTCGGGGTGCCTTCACTGGCCTGGCCAAGTTGCGCTTCCTCGACCTCTCAGGGAACCAGCAGAGCTCTCTTCGCCATCCAGACATCTTTGGGCCGCTGCGCTCCCTCCACACCCTGCTGCTGGCCAGCAACAGCCTGCGGCAGCTGACAGGGGGGCTCTTCCAGCACCTGCCCGGCTTGGCAAAGCTCTCACTCAGCGGCAACCGACTGTCTCACCTGGCCCCGGATGCTTTCAGGGGGCTGGGCTCGCTGAAGGAGCTGCGCCTGGAGGGGAACCTGCTGAGCCACCTACCTCCAACCCTACTGGAGCCGCTGGACAGCCTGGAGGCACTGGATCTGAGCCGCAACGCACTGACCGCCCTGCACCCGGCCGCCTTCGGCCGCCTCGGCCGCTTGCGGGAGCTCAGCCTGCGGGACAACGCACTGGCCACGCTCCCCGGCGAGCTCTTCGCCTCCACCCTGGCCCTCTACCGCCTGGAGCTGGAGGGGAATGCCTGGAGCTGCGACTGCCGCCTTCGCGGCCTCAAGCGCTGGCTGGCGGCCTGGCACTCCCAGGGCCGCCTGCTCACCGTCTTCGTGCAGTGCCACCTGCCACCCGCCCTGGCCGGCAAGTACCTCGACTACCTGCAGGATGGCCAGCTGGCCCTGCCGCAGGACGGCGGCCCCTGCCCCGATGGTGCCTCTCCCTCCCCGCCATCCCCCGAGGGACTTGGTGGCAACAATAGTGCAGCGGGGCTGCCCCCAGGGTCACCGCCGGCCGCCTCCACCGCCCGCCTGATGATGGGGGTGCCCATGGCCGCCAGCCCCACGCCGGCACCGCTGCCCAGTGCGGCGGCGTGGCCCCGACGGGCCGGTGCCCCCGGGGTCCCGCCGCTGGTGTCCGACCCGTGCGACTTCAACAAGCTGTTCCTGCACAACCTGTCGGTGGAGGCGGTGGGCTCCAGCTGGGTGACGGTGCGCTGGGCCGTGCGGCCGCACCGCAGCCCCCGCCTGCTGGGGCCGGCGCGATTCCGCCTCCTCTTCGACCGCTTCGGCGCCGCCGTCAAGTTCCAGCGCTTCGTGTACCTGCCGGAGCGCGGGGAGCCGGCGGCCACGCTGCGGGAGCTCCGCCCGGACACCCCGTACCTCGTCTGCGTCGAGGGCGTCCTGGGCGGCCGCGTGTGCCCGGTGGCGCCGCGGGACCACTGCGCCGGGCTGGTCACCCTGCCCGAGGGCGGCACCGCGGCGGCGGCGGGCGGGCCCCGCGGCCCCGACCAGCAGCTGCTCACGCTGGTGCTGCTGGCGGTGAACGCGCTGCTGCTGCTGGCGGCTCTGGCCGCCTGGGCCGCCCGCCTGCTGCGCAAGAAGGTGCTGGGCCGTCGGCGTCGGAAGGCGGCCCCGGTCCACGTGCGGCAGCTCTACTCCACACGCCGCCCGCTCCGCTCCATGGGCACCGGAGTCTCCGCCGACTTCTCGGGCTTCCAGTCCCACCGGCCGCCCCGCGGCGCCGCCGCCTGCGCCCTCAGCGAGGCCGACCTCATCGAGTTCCCCTGCGAGCGCTTCATGGACAGCGGCAGCGGCCGGCACGGCGACGAGCACCTGCTGCAGCGCTTCAGCGACTGAGCCCGGCCCGCCGCCGCGGCAGCCGCGGGGAGGGCGGGCGCCGCGCTGCGAGGGGCGGTGCGGGCGCGGGGCCGCGGCCCCCAGGGCACGGCGCGGCTCCGCGGCTGCGTTCAGCCGCCCCTGCCGCGGGCCGGGGCCGAGCCTGCCCGTGGGACGGCGTTGCTTCTGCCGGCTCCTCACCGTTTTGTCAGGAATGGTCTCTAAGCCCAGCAAAAGCTCTGACAGGCGCTAACCGTGCCTTGCCGTGAGGAGCAAACGGCAGGAGCTACTGCCAACAGCAGCCAGCGCCTCCCTTAAGGGAACTCAGAGCTGTTAATTTAAGTGTGCTGTTTTACAGGTGGTTTCCTCCGACTGCAGGTTGGGAACAAGTTCCAGTGAGCGGCCTGGCCCTGTGTGAGGAGCTTTGAACAGGTCTTTCCAAGGCACCAGTCCTTCCTAATCAAAAATTTGGATCGAGGGTCATCGTTTCATTGAACTGTTTGCAACCAGGGAGTTGTCTGGAGGGCTGGAAATGTAGGGCTGTTTGCTGAATAGTTTGAAGGCTGTGCCGTTTCAACTCAAACCGAATGTGAGGCAATTTAATCTGCACAATTAATGTGCTTTTATACTTTTCTGTAAACGAGAAACAATAATGCAGCTGGTTAGTTCTACAGGAATATATTACTGACACCACTAAGAAAAAACTAACATATTTTTGTAGAATGTTTACAAATTAGCTATTTTTGAATTGTTTTTGAATAAATACTGTTTGGTACTTGTACACATTAATGTGTGCTGTAGTTGTCTGGGTCCATGATGGTCAGCAGATCGCTGACCCTCACATAATCCATCTTCTTTTCTAAATGGGTGGGTGCAGAGGTGAACTATTGATGGATAAATAATCATTGGTGCCTTACTTCAGAAACAATAATAGGTGAGAATAATTCAGAAATGTGAAACAATCTTTTTTCTAACAGGCAATTCTCTCCTAGCCTTTGCCTACTAAAGTTAGAAGCTTTATGTCCCTCACTGTGAAATAAAATATTTTGTGTATTAATCTAGATTATGTGTTTTGTGTAGCTGAGTGAGTAATGCTAGAGTTAAACCCTTATGCAGTAGTATATAATGTTTGAGTTGTTTTGGTTTGTTGCTTGTTGTGGTTTTTTCTTAAATTAGGATTTTGCTTTTTGTTTCAGAGCAATGCTAATCATTTTATGGTCAGTTGCTCTCTACTTCTCAGACTTTTTCCTAAATATTTACAGAATGTGGTTCTGTTATTACAAAATTCGGTGGTTTATTTTACATTAATAATTCCCTCTGTGTGGTCTACAAATGAGCTAGTTAAAGAGATCCAAATCAGGATTGCACTTTAAATGCAAATATTTTAGATGGAGGTTGGTAAATTGTTGAGACCATTGATACAACTTCTGTTCCTTTGAATTTAATGTGCAACCTCAGATGAACTCTTGTGCAACTGAATGGCTCAAAGGAAGTGTTAGTGTACCATGGAGACATTTGTCTCAATATCATGCATTCATTGCTGACCCGAGGTGTTCGTGACTACAAGTTGTTTATTACCATAATTGCAAGTAAGCAATTTGGGTGTTTTATCTTTTTTTTTTTTTTTTTTTTTTTTTTTTTTTTTTTTTTTTTTTATTTTTTTTAGATGAACAAGTGTTTACAAAAGATACCATAGTAACTGGTACCTTTGGTTGGAGTTCAGTGACTGAATAGAGAGAAAAGACTTTATATTCTGAGGGAGAGAGTGTAGAGATCATTTGCCTTAATCTTTGTCTTTTCCATGGAGAAAGAAAAAATCAAAGTCTTGTTTCTTGGGTCAGTAGCAGGAAATCCTTTGGGATTTCATTTTGACAGGCTGTAGTTTTCATGAATATCAGGGGCCAAACTCTGTTGTCAGTGTACAGATTAAAATTCACTGCAATAGAAACCATGTTAAATGCAATTAAAATTGAGCAGTATCAAGTTTCATTTTTTGTTAAGAATTTAAATTTTCTATTCTTCTGGACACCTGGATACTTTTGGCCATGTATAATTGTGGAGTACACCACTGTTTGTTGTTAGAAATACAGTGGGATTATTGAGTAAAGCTGTGTATCACACTAACATTAGCTCTATCACTGGATATTCTTCCAATGGGAGATGCATAGATGCTGTACATGGTTATAGTCAATTGTCAATAAATCCATTTGCTGAAAGAAAATTTGTGTCTTACCTTGTATCTCATCATGCATCCTTCTTCAATCATAGATTGGCTGTAACTTCTTCATTTTATGAGCACAAGGATTGTGGACAATGTCTTATTATTCTTTTCATATCTTTTGATATGAAACAACATGTAGAATGTTTCCTATTTTGTTTTTAATATATGTGGACAGTGAAAACAGAAAAATAACTAAAATGGTCAGTTCTGAAACAGGTAGACCACTGTCTCAAGGTGGGCTAATAAGGTGCTGTAACATCACGTGCTGAACTATTGATCCTTTATAAGGAAAATTAAGAAAAAAAGAGTGTGTGGGATCATACCAGTAGTTTATGCTCATTGGAAGTTACAGTTCTGAGGGTTTTTCAGTATTATCAGACTAATGATATCAGCATGTCTTGTTCAGCATATGCTTGTTGTTCTAATTAAGAATTCACTGATTCTATTTCAATTTTTGCAAACATCTGGAGAAATGCTAGAATGAAAGAGAATTTTTTTTTTTTTTTTTTTTTTCAGCCTAGGAGAATTAGATACATGGATCTGCACAACAGCAACAACAAAAAGAGTTAACAATGAAGCTGTTGATTTTTTTAAAGCCACAAATCTGTAACTCTAGGAATACTTACAGTATTACTTGCAGCATCTTTGCAGGGAGGGAACTGTACTAGTAGGTGGTTGAGGAAAGAAATGTCAGTGACCTTGAATGACTGAAAAATGTAAATATAACATGGCTCTGTTTTCACCAGTAGTATTTATATGTATCTGGGTCTTTTTTAAAGTAAGCTCCTTTCTAAAGAATGACTGCAAAAACAGCCCTTTCTAATTGGATGAATCTGCCCTCAAGCTGTGCTCAAAATGTTTATCCATCTAGCAGAAATAGTTTTACTGCTGTGTCCTCTCATGGAATCCATGCAGCTCAGGGAAGAGTGAACTGTTCTGCTGAGTAATTACTGAACATGGTATATATCAAAGATTGAAAATCACCAAAATACCGCCCTATCAAATTAAGTGGGCTGCTGCTGGGGAGTCTGAAAGAGGTACCAGGGCTTCCCTAGTGTCAGCACTGCCTGATTTAGCAGCCTCTGTCACCTCCTGCTCCCCTTCTTCAGTTCCTGACTTCACTTCATCCAGCTGGCATGGTTGGTTGTGCAGCTGGAAGGTGAATTGTGAAACTGATCCTTCTGGAAAATAACCTTTCCTAGCGCCTCCCCTCTCCCCTATTTTTCATCCGGCTCAGTTTCTTTGGTTCTCTTTAACTCACACAAGTATTGGTTGTGGAGTTCAGAGGCAGGAAAAAACAGTCAAGGATGGGAAGCCGCTTAAAAAATCTCAGTCTTGACATTCAGCTTGACCACAGTCTAAGAAAATCTAGGCTATTCACATTAGATAAAAATTCTCTGTACATGATATAACTTTACTGGAAATTATTAATGATCAACAGAATTGAAAATGCTTAGAACTTCTCTTTAAGATCCTAGAAATTTTGAGGTTATGGCATGGGGCTAGAGAGAAACAATCTGGAGAGAACACAGGTACAATGGTGTCAGTGAATGTCTACATGTGGATGAATGCTCCTTGTCAAAAAGCACTGCTTGACTATCAGAGCCTGAGATAGCACAGTTAAATTTATAAAAATGTTGATTTCTTTATGCCGTGCTGTTTACTTTTCACAATGCAATGCAAGTGCCACATTTTGAAATATCATCAACATTTGAACCCTTACAAGAAGGGGCTGGGTAAAGTATGCATGTCTCTTGTGCCTTCTCCTTTCTGCTCCTTCCTGGAAGAGATTTGAAAAATGAGGATTTGGGAGGAAAAAAAAAGTCTGCTCCAGGATATATATTTGTCTATTCATCAGGATATTTATTAACTAATAAGCTAACATTCTGATTGTAGGGGATGAGTCTACAAAATCATTTGTTTCCATGACAGTATACATATTTGTAGAAAAATTCCACCAGTGAACAAGAGAAATACTTCTTGATTTCCAAAAATCTGGCTGCTCCCACTAATTTATGTTTCTCTGGCCACCAAGGGTGTACATATGTTGTGTAAGTTCCATGAGCCAAGTTTTGGTTTAAAAAATTATTTTTAAAATTAGTTAATTAAATCAGACAAAGTATGCATGCATAGGGATATACTTGATTTTTTTCATGGGGCAACTCCTTTGAGACAAGTTGTTTTATAAATGTTGAATCTATAATCTGATATTTTCTAAGTATAAATGAGGAATAAGGATTAGGAAACAGTGTGTGCTGGATATTGGATTTGTCCTTTTTGCTCCATGCTAAATATAGCATCGTTTTGGCAGCTTGTCCAAACACTGCTGTTGTGTTTTTCTCTATAAAAAGTTGACTTTTCTCAAGTGCATACTTTAATTCCCATAGAAATTAAATTCCTGTAGAAAAATAGACAATTGTGTTTAAACACAAATATTTATCTTAGTATCATTGTACATGACTTTATTTATAGAGATGCTCCTTGATAAGTCTTTTTAAATAAATTGATATCTCATTTATTTTTACAAACAAGACCATAAGAGTTGGAATGAATAATGCAGAATGAATAAATAGTTGGAAGAAAACTGTTTCAAACATAATAGAGATATTTACTAACAAAGAGGAATCTGACACTTTAAAGAGACTTTATGAGTTTTTATGCTGTGACACACATCTCCTTTGTTGTTGGATTTTAAAAGGTATATTTATTTATAGTTTGATAATCTAGGTTTACTAATTCTATATTGTAAAAATAGACTGTTTGTTGTCCAGAAATGGGAAGACCCCCGCATAAATAAATCTCAGAAGCTATTGAGTGTGAAAAATAAAGTT